TATATATATATATATATATATATATATATATATATATATATAACTATTCACCATTTGCTCTTTTCTTACCTCCTAAATTGAATTCACTAAATTTTGTTAAGTGCTTACATGGAAATTATCACATTAGCACTGTAAGGAATACAATGTCAAGTTATACAATGTGTATGCAGTCCTAAAGAGCTTGCAATCGAATGAAGAAGGCAAGTGCACTTGTTAATGTATTAAAAGCTAGAGCTCTAAGTGCCCAGTGAAAGAGAAAAGCTCATTTGACTACTTGTGAACGCTTGTGAGGAAAGAGTTCTTCTGACTGAAGAGATGAAATCTTAGGTACAATTAGGTAGAATGTGAATGGCGAAAATAAAACAATAAATTATTTTGCATAACATTTTAATATCAAACAATTTTTCTCTTCATAATCTCATAATAATTTGAAAGTGATTTAAAAGTGATTTAATAGAGGAAACATATTTGGTTCATGTAAATGTATGTACATTATCCTTTACAAACCTCTGTGGCAATCCATTCACAGACTGTGAAATCATTTATCAGATCTCCATCAACATAAAAAAAAGTTAAAGGGAGGAGTAGAGAAAAGATCAGAGTGCATTGTTTGTATTTAGCATAAAAACAAACATGAACTATCTGTTACATTAGTGTGTATGTGTGCATGTTTGTGAGTCGATGTAATGAATTATTGTGTAAAGTGTCCCTTACTGTTGGCTGTGTTCAAAATTTTTAATCTACATGTATACCATGTACATCTATATGTGTACTTCTATATATCTATATGTATATTATATTTTAATCTCCATATATACTGAAATCAATACATAAGTCACAAATATTGGACAATACAGAATTCCCAGTAAGACTTATTGATGGTGAAGCTCATTATCTTTGCTTTGTAGTTTTATGTGGCTGTGCCCCAGCACTGTGGGGTAACATTACTTATTATTTTGGAGCTTTGTTATCTGTTATTTCAGGTCCTTGATTTGAGCATGTGTTGTTGAGTGAGTCAGTCTACTCGAAGAGCTGACTTTAGCTATTTTTCCTTCCTCTTCTGTCTTCTTTAAGTTTTTTTCTGTTGCTTTTGTATTTTTGTTGATGATGATGTGATTTATTTATCAGTGAGATGGATAAAACAGAAAATATGAGAAGGAGCAAAGACTGAATACTCCCCAAATTGGCTATATGACAATTGACATCTACTTTTGGTCCCCAGGTTAGTTGTTTTTAAACTTTCTGGTTATTACAGTTTACTTGGCTTATTTATTATAACTTTTATCAACATGAGAAAACATAAGGCTAAAGAAACACTATTTGTTTGGAAGATCTGAAAAGATGGGAGATGTTTCTACTTGCCAAATGTGCCCCAATCTTCAAAACCTTTTCAGGGCAGATTTTATTAAACATTTAACCTAGCAGTTTTCAAAGGGTCATAATCATTATGCATTAGGTAATTTTTGCAGTATTTGATTGCGATGATAGAAACCTACGCAATCCCAAATTCTCTCAGAGAGCACTCATATTCTCATGGGGTCATCCTTCTCCAGTGCTCCCCTATGAATTTTCCTAAAAGTAGATACAGAAAAAGGCAAAGAAAGCTTTGGAGAGTTCTGAATTGAAGCTGAATCCTGTCTCTTAATTCAAAGACAAACCTTAACATAGGGATAGATCTCAGGTCAGAGACTTCTGTAATCCAACAGGACAGATTAGAGGCTCAAACACTGAGTCCATGGCTCTGCCTCCTTTTATAAGTGACTTTATTATATGTACACAATGACAGCATATATTTATATTTACATGTATTTGTTATTTAGGGAAACCTCTAATTAGCTTTTTTACCTGAGGATTTTTAATGGTGAACAACAACAACAACAAAAATCCATTCAATAAAATAGTAAAATATAAAAATGTTTAATCTGTAAGATACACTTTTTTTGTGAAATGGTAATATTCAAATATTTTTATTGACCACAGAGGAAAACTATATATAATTGGATGTGGGAATCATTTAAATCTTATTTTTAACTTAGAACTCTAAATTAGACAAGGATTATATTTTGGCTCTATTTTATTATCGTTGTTAATATTACTATTATAATTTTGATAGTCAATTACTTGAAATTTTTTTCAATTTCAATGATTTCATGATAGGATCATAAATATATCTGGAAGTAGTTTAGAATTTATCTTCAATTCCACTATGCTAACATTCTTATTAGAATGGAAACATATATATATGTGTGTGTGTGTGTGTGTGTGTGTGTGTGTGTGTGTGTGTGTGTGTATATATATATATATATATATGCATGTATATAGTGAATTCAGTATTTATTGAACAATTACTATGTGCTAGAAACTGTTTTAGGGGCTAAGGATATAGGAGGAGTAAGCCAATCACAAAGTTGTCATCTTTAATGTGGGAGACAAATATTAAATAAGTATACAATATAGTGTCAAATAAATCATATTAAGATTAATACATACAATAAGAGAATAGACTGAATAAAGATGGGATTTTGATGGGATAGGGAGGCAAAAGCTCTTTGGATAGGTGACATTTAAGCAGAGATCTTAGAAAAGGTGATTAACTGGAAGGGTCACAAATCTCTAGAGATAGGGTTAGGAATGGATATCTGAGCAGCTTAGCTTTCCTCAGCAATGTGTTTGTTTTTCTAGGATTACTTTCTGCTATTAAGTGGCGTTTGTTCTAAATATTGTGCAAGCTATAGAATTGGATTAGCAATGCAAACTTTATAAAATTTAGATTTTAGGTTTTTCTTTCATTTTCTTTTATGTTGAACATGTTGTAGCTGATCAGCAACAATTTGCCCTGAAAAATATCAGCAATTCCATAGTTTTATATGTCCATGGTAACTTTAGACATCTTATTAAATTTCCTCATTTCTTCTTTGACACGTAACTAAACCTAACTTTTACTAAATAGCTTAGAGTAATGAACTTTCATCTAACTTGCAAATATTTAATATTCAAAAGGTATTTCAAAATTGAATAGACCTTCAGCTGGTACTAAATATTTATTATATTTAACACTTCTTTCTTAAAGACTCTGTGTGTATATGTGTGTATATATTTAGCATACGTTATTACTATTAGTTTGCTAGAGCTGCCATAACAAATGACCACAGATTGGGTGGCTTACACAACAGACATTTCTTTGCTCTCAGACCTGGAGGCTTGAAGTTCAAGGTTAAGATGTTGGAGGTTTACTTTCTTCTGAGGGTTTACTTTCTGCTTGTTTTGTGGATGCAGACTTCTTGCTGTGTCCTCACATGGTATTTTTTCTCTGCATGTCCATCCCTGTTGTTTGTTTGTGTGTCTAAGTTTCCTCTTCTCATAAGGACACCAATCAGATTGGATTAAGGTCCACCCTAACAGCCTCATTTTAACTTAATCACCTCTTTAAATGCCCTATCTCCAAATACAGTCACATTTTGAGGTACTGGAGATTAAGGCTTCAACATATGAATTTTGCGGACACAGTTCAGATATAAATAAGTACATATATTGGGTTGTCAGAAAAGTCATGATGTATTTTTTCTATGTTTTTTGTTGCAAAAATGCGTCATGACTTTTCTGACAACCTAATAGATATCGGTATAGATATTTGTATGACACAATGCCTTTTACCCTACTATGAATAATTTTTTTTCTCTAAACCACTTAGTTTAAGCCAAGAGAAAAATTTATAAAGTATTTGACCTACTTGTCCTAACAACAATAGGTAAAGAAACAAAAACAAAAAAAAAGCAAACAAAAAAAACAGACCTTGAACAGAAAACAGGAAAGTAAATTCCTCTCTGAAATCACTTTTAAAAGGTTTATATGTGAATCAAATATTATATTATTAACAGAGACTCCAATGTATAATATGAAATGATCTAAAAAATATTGCAAGGAAAAGATGAAAGTTAAACAGAAAACAATAAATGGTTTTGGTAAAACTATGTACCTTTCTAATAGGAAAGTAAACCCAGTGCAACTCTATAGGACAATTCTGAAATGTTAAAAGGGACTTTGTAGTTCTAAAATATAACCTCTAATATTGTTGGTTAAAGTTGTATTAGATTCATCAGTTTATGCTTTGTGGTTTTACATATGGCTGGTTATGATTACTTATGTGTGGGTCATAAAAACCCAGTGTGTTTTCTAAGCAGTCAGATTGCCTGTCTGCTGTTAAAGGGGCAGAATTAATGAGAAACTTACTTTATAGTCTAAAGAATAGCAGCTGGGGTCTTGTTTAACAAGTCCTGGGAACTCTTTGTGGCTAGACTTATATCCTGCCTCATCTCTAAAAAGCTCTACTCATTGAGTAGAACAGTCAGATAGACAAAATTCAAGGACACAGCAATAGCTTTACACATTGATTACTTCTAGTAAAAGAGTAGAGGACAATGTGCCACTTATGTTCCACTGTGGCAGAAAGTGCCACATTTTCCCCAAAGCCCATTTCCTTTTTCTCTTGGTTATAGATGGACCATTTCTCAGCCTCCTTGCATTTCGATGTAGCCATGTAAATTAATTCTTACCAATGGAATATGGAAGCAATGACATGTGTTACTTCCAGGCCTCTATAATCTCCCATGTGAATATCTTTTTTTTTTTTTCTTATTTCAACCACTGGATGAATGGAAAATACTCAGAATAAATCAAAAGACCTGGAAGATGGCAAAACAGTAAGATAGAAGGGGCCTGGGTCTTGGAATTATTATATAGAACATCTGCCAATCACTAGTACTGTTATGTAAATTAGAAAAAAAAACCATTGTGTTAATTCTCAGGTATTTTCAGATTCACTGTTAACCATAGTTAGCCTATTCAGAACAATACACCCTCTCAGGATGAGAATTAGCTTACTAGGAAAGCCATCAAATAATCTAACACAGTAGTCTCCCTGAACGAGCAGAAGAATCTACTGAGGGAGTATGGAAACTTTTAAAGTCTATCTCTAAATCTTTTATTAATTTGAAAGGAAGAAAACTTTACTGCCATTTAACATATCTCTTACCAGTAGTATATCATTCTTAAATAAATTCACACATCTTGTTTGGGATAAAAGTTAAACATTTTTTTTTATTGTTAGTAGGACATAATTCAAAAGATTTAGACACCTCTGATAAAAAACCCAGCTATATGTGTAAAGTTTAGAAAAATTTACTTGTGAAAAATTTGTAAAATGGAGCATTTCAACATTATACCCGCTCAAGATGCCTGAAAAAGTATAAATCATAAAGATATTTGACAGATTTCATTTATTAAAAGCAGCTGGTTTATATCCACACTTTCATACAAGGAAATATTACTGTCCATTCTCCATCTCTTGCATCTGGAAAGACCTCATGACTTGCTTTGCACAATAAAATGTAGTTGAAGTGTCACTATGTGAGTTGTGGTCCTCAGCCTCAGGGTGCCTGGCATTTCCTGCACTGGTTCTTTAGGAATACCACCTCCATGAGCACAAGCGTAGCCTATACTCCTTGAGGATGAGGGATCAGGTGGAGAAAATGAGCCAGCCTTCCTGGACCCCTCAGTCATTCCACTGAAGGCCCTATATGAGTAAGATAGCCCAGCTGAGCACAGCCTAAATTCTTGACCCACAAAATAATAAGCAAAACAAAACAAAACAAGAAAAACAAACAAACAAACAAAATCGTGTTTTAAGCCACCAATTTTGGAATAATTTGTTGCACTGCAAAAGATAAGATACAAATGTTATTGTAGAAGGCAACTATTCCATGGGTGAAAATGCCATGCAGTAAGAAGCTCAACATTGATTTTAGTTAAAATTAAGATTTTTAAAGAACTCATTATAAAAATCACGCTATGTTATGTTAATAAATAATTAAAATTAATATTGTACCTCATCATTCCAAAACTACCTCTAAAGGGTAGTATTGTTTACCAAGAATATGATCATTTGAGTTAGCAATCCCACCTCACTTGGCACTCCTAGGAGAGCGGCTTCCATGGTCACCCTTACCGCGCGGCACTAGTGTAGTTGAAGGGAGCTTCCCTGCTCCATGACTTGGGCTTGGCAATGTTGCTTACTTTAGACAATTGGGTGTTAGCAGAACTGAAGTGAATGGATGCTTAAAATGTGCTTGGGTGGTTTGGCTTGCCTTCTTATGTTTCCATCATTGCCATGAGAAGAACATA